TTTGATGGACTATATCCTGCCTATGCTGCAATAATTCCTTTTCCACCTAGACATCTTTACCCATTTCGTTTGCTTTGTGCCATTGCTGAATGTCCAACTTGCCGGGATGAAGATATACTCAATCGATTTGCAGGTCTCGGTATTATTAAGCAATACATTCTAAATGATATGTCAAATGGAAGTTGGTTTGTTTTCGATGAGTTTGTTATGGGTGGTGGCATGATGTGTCAGCGATGTACACAACCAAATCTACAATTACCTGGAGGAGTCGAATTGGATGGTTCTAGACTATTTCGTAATAGAATGTATTCTCAACATGGAGTTCTTCCGCCAGCTAGACGACACAGCCATTCTGCAGAAGGTCGAAATCGACATGATGTACTTCGTGCTTATATAATTGATAATAAACGCTTCACTAAAACCGACAGAAAAGAAATCAATGCTGCAATAATTGAAATTAACAATTACACTATTGCGCATCAAAATGAAAACATAAGTACAATCAACAAATTAGATTGGCTACTTGTCAATGTCTCATATATAGGTTACGGTTCAATCGAAAGTCAAAAAAAGAAATCATCTCGATTCAATGCAACTCCAATAGATGCTAGACCACCAACATATGAATTGATAGAAACCTATTTTACGGCTCAGTTACGATTATTGCGTACTATGGATATTCATATTATAGGACCTGGTACAGGTGCAATGTATCAAACATTTTTATCGGATGGATCAGTAGTCATTAATCTCGGTGGATTAATACCATTGAGACCAGAAGATCAAAATATAACACATACAGCATATATGGAACAGTACATGACATCTGGTGCACCCTATCTCAAAGCTCTCTATTATCCGATTAATGAAAGGCCAAAAGGAATAAAAAGAGAAGAAGTAGTAAAACTCATTCGACAAGCAGCCAAACTCATCATGAATGGCTTTTCTATACCAGTAAATCCGAAAGATAACTTGGCACCAGATGGACAATTATTTATTGAAATGTGTGAAAGAGATAAAAAATTTTGTGAACTCGTTACGACAAGAGCACGAGATACTGATTTTGGTTGTTATAATTTTTGGGTCGAAGAGTTCATTCACGAACGTGGACCATGGAGAGAACAAGTGAGCACTGATGGTATTAGAAAAACTCACTGTCCATACAATCTTACATTGATGCGTGAATTGAGAGACAAATATGGCATTCGTCATTATGAAACAAGTGTTAATCAATCGAAAATCTCTGGTTAAGACATAGAAAAATATTACTTCAAGACTTGTGTTGTACTAGCATCATAATAAATACAAAAAAATTATAGGATTATTTTTCACACTTTACTAACCAAAAACTTTGAAACTATTTCTAAACTAATCAATCGTTATGCTAATACTATCTGGCTTAAACGTCTTGTAACGGTCGAGGTTGTGAGCGTATGGTGTGGAGAGTAGCTTTGGATGCCGATGTGGATGCGATAGGTGTGGATCTGAATCTGGATCAGGGTGTGGAAGTGAGTGAGGCTATGGGATATGATTATGAGATGTCCAGCATGCCATGATGCAGATTTCAACATTGATAAAAGGTTGTCATGAAATTGGTTTTGAGCGTATGGGTGAGTGTGCGCATTTGTATAGATGTGGTTGAGAGTTGAGAACGAGATGCACACATCCACTCATACTAACATTTACATTGACATCACACTTTCACTCTCATAAAAAAGGAAGTGGCTATGCACACTAAGGTACACATAGCCGACCGGCTATGTGCACTCAAGTAGGTATAATCAATTAATCAATAAATATTAAGTTATGTTATAGTCTTATATGTACTTCATTATTGATATAAATAAAATGTGGTTTGGATGTGGCACCACAGCTACCTGAGTGTACATAGCCGACCGACTATGTGTACCTGAGAGTACATAGCCACTTCGTATAAAGAATGTGTACTCAAACAAAGGCAAGTGAAATCTACTAGGGTATAGAGTGTGAGTGTAGACTGATAAGAGACTCATTCCCTTTCCACATCCACACCCACCCTATCAGTGTTCACAAAAGGAAATTACATTATGGATTTGTTCACTTTGTTGAAAATATTTCTTACATATGTATAAACTTAACCACTAAAGCCGAAAAAAAATGTCAGACACCTTTTAGTGCATCTAATTCGAGTTCCTCGTGCAGTTCTTCTTCACTTGTAACAAATGAGTACTATTTTGAATCATTGGGCAATGTAGAACCCAACATTTAGTCGTAGAAAATTCAATATTTCTTCAAAAGTGTTTTCTTAGTACTACAAAAGTATTACTATTTACTGCTAAATGCAGTAAAAAATTTTGGCGTCTGTATAAGAACTTCGATGCATTGCATAAATCTATGAATCTGATGGAATGAAAAACAAATTTTTAATCCTTCGATACTTGAATCTAGGGTAGATCTCATCCTGCTTAAGTCTCGTGGCTCCACCACCGATGAACATATGATACTAGCGAAAGTGAATACTCGAAACCAGCCAAATACAGGAGAAAATCTATGACATACCGTCTTTGTTTATAATAATTCAAAAGACTATAGATCTAAGTATATATAATGTCGAATTCTGTCATTCTTCTATTAAAATTGTATTAATAAAACATATTCTAAGATACTTACGTAAATGGTAAAACATCTATATGAAATTTAATTAATGCTTTGAATAAGTTGATTGTTTTAAGTACAACAATTGTATTAAACGACTCATCAGTCATACATATTATTTTACTTTCTCCGATCTATATTTGAAAAAAAAGTCCAAGAATTAAATATAAGAAAAAACCTAAAAATAAAACTATATTTGTTGAATATACTTGATCAAAAAATAATTCCATATTTGATTTAAGTGTTATTCGTTTAATAGAACTATTACGATATAATGTTTGTGAATGAAAACTTGTTAATATTGAAAAATGTTGTACAATAGCATCATCAATTGAAAAATCAATTTCTTGATTTATCTTTAAGCTTATTATAATAGGAGAAATAATTATCAATAAAACAATATTCTTACATCCTTATTTTCTATTAAATTTTCCTTAAATGTATAACCTCGATCAATAAAACATCTATGTAAATATTCAAATAAATCATCAGTTAAAAATCGATAAATTTAATCTGAATTTGATCCAAAAACAAGTATACCAAATAGACAGCGTGTGACCATATTTTCGTGTTTTTGACAAAAAAGATATTAGTAATATAAAATATAACATTTGCTCGTTTATATTACGTATATAAAAGCAGTAGTGAGAGTTAGGAAATCAAATAATAAGTCAGTGTTGACACAGAATGACACAACATATGTAACTCAAGATTTGCGAAGAATGGTGCAATACTGAGTAATTGAGAAAATGATGGACGTGAAAAATATTGCTTACTGGGATAAAATGAAAGAATCATGACTAATTCTACTTCCTAATAGAGTGAAAGTGTCCGAGACGAATTGAAATTAAGTGCAGTGTCATATCAACACATTCATTAGCAATCTTGATCATGATCTTCTGCAAAAAAACATACCGAAGATCACTCGTACGTTTTCCAGCACAGAACATTGAGTGATAGCAGACGTTGTGATATTTCAGTTTGAATCTTAGATAAAATTTTGTTCAATCAAGTTTGGAAAAACATCTAATATCAATTGATATAGAAAGAAATTATCGACAATTTTAGACAGACATAGGAATGACTTGGAAAATGAATTCAAATCAATACGAATTTGACGTAAATATAACTAATTCATACTTATTAATTCATCCTACACTGTACATAAAACAATAAGAACAATTCCATTTTATATAAAGTCCTGTTAGTGAAGTGGTTATCGCGTCTGTTTTACACACAGAAGGTCGTAGGTTCGATTCCTGCACGGGACATTTTCATTCTTTTTTTTGCATTGAAATGTATTGAAGAAATCGATTTGATTCTTAGAATGTAATTTTGAAATAACTTTCGAATGAACGTCAAAGGCTTGATGATTAAACTTCATAGTATATCATGTTAATTAGTATAGTGATTGACTTGAAATGTATAACTAATATTTCTCTTTCTACATACATGCATTCAATCTTTTCTTGCTCAATGTTTTCTATCAATGCTAAATTGATCTCTCATTCGATGTTCATATTTCAATCGAATGCTATTTTGAATGCTATGATCACATATTTTGATCTACTTCTGAGTCGTCTACAGATGAAGAAATTAAATGTCACTACCTCTTATTGGTTAGAAAAAGCAAAACAGATTCATAAGTAGGGATGTAGCAATACCAATACTCTAATACCGTATTGGTACTGTTACATTCCTATCCATAAGATATATAGTATCAAGAACTGGTTTTTGTACGAGAGACAAAATCAATCTTCAATACTGAAATGTTTCTAATGATCCTATTGGCAAACATGATCATCAAGCTTTTGTCACATTTCACATTGAACTCGAACAAAGATTATTCGAATTCTTTCACTATCAAATACATATCATCTTTCGATTTTCATCGATAAACAGTGTGGCTGCATATCTTCCTATGTAAAAAAAAACTGCTATGGAAACATTCATGAACAGTAATTAGTGAATATTAAAATGAATGTTTTTTCCTAATGTTTTCTAGAAAATTTTTACATGGTCTTTAGCAGGATATTTATCGCATTATATTTTCTCGTTATATCACTAAAAGCTACGTATTGATTCGACAAGAATCAATAGTCATTCACGAAACTATACTTTAGAAAAGTATTTAAAGTGATGGTAGCATCTTGGTGAAAATGGACGTTATCAGAAAAAAAAATCTGAAAGATACATCACAGTATGAATGAACACTCCTGTTTTTTGTCTTTTCACAATCAACTCTCGAACATTCTCTTTCATATCAGGATCAAAAATATCACAATGCCGTTATCTACAGTTTACCTGACTATTGAATTTCTCTTTTTTTCGGAATTTAGAAAAAACCCTCCTTT